AATATGCTCAGAATATTGATGATCACAAATAGAATAAGTATTTATACTTTACCGGAACCAATTTAACATCCAATAGCTTCGCTGTTGATCATATCGTTAGAATGGATGAAGGTGCTTCAGCGAAAAAGGTGTTTGAAGAGGCTATTGTTTTTAAGTGAATAAGTAAACAATTTCAAAGAAAATACACGAATAAAAAATGCTTTTATATTGCAATATGTACCATAAAACTGCATTTTTTGACTTTATTAAAGTATGCATATAAAGATCGCCCAATGAGAATATCAAATGTGGATGTAAATGTCAAGTTACACCTCAACTTTAATACACTTGACTTCAAGAAATTAAAATTATATTGTTGTTGTTATTTCAGTCGTTAAAGAGTTAAGAATTTAAATCATGGAATAAGATATGTATTCTATATTTAGAGTATACAATATTTATTTGTTTGATTTAGCAAATTCTTTTTATAAAATAAATTGTTTCAATCCTTGAACTAATGTGATGAGATGTCTAAAAGGCACTATCACCTCCTTGACACTCCTTATATCACACAATGATTTTGAAGAAACTGATATATGACTATGACTAAAGTCATAATTAGTTAGACCTAGTCTCATTCCATGTCTTCCTAACACTCAATGATCTATCAGCCTCGACACCGCTGTATTTGGTAGATTTCACTTTAGTTGAAACAACTGACTGCTTCTTGTTTAAATTAGTCCAATTAAGTCCTGAAGCCTGGAGAGACATCAGCCACTGCTAACTATTTTCTTTTAATGGAAGCTCAGCTCACTGCAAGTGGTATATCAATAATCAGGAAAACACATTTAAGAGACCAGGATTCTAGCTTTTGTAAGCTAAAGTATATTGCAGTTACACGAGATATCCTTGTGTGCAAGTACCCATATAAATTGGCTACTGACAAGCCCAAATAACTCATTGAAAAAACCCTGCCATTGTAGCTAAAACTGTTACTAGATGGCAGTTTTGCTCTGTGAGAAGATTGTAGTATTCATGTGTTTTTGCTTATTTGGACCAATATTGCAGCAATTCAATATTTCACTGTGAAATATGCTGCAGTGGTTTGATACTCAAAGTGAGATGTAAATAACTGATTTTTTGTAGAATACGAAACTACACTTTATCTTCTAGTTTATAGCTGTCAGTGTAAATGACAATCATGTTATCAGAGACTCCTCCTTCTAAAGTTCAGTTATCTTCACTTGGTATAACACAGCCAAACCCCAGCTCGACGATTTGCTTAGAATATATAAAGTGAACAGAAATATTAACTGATAAATAATGTTTCAAAATGATGAGGGGGCAATATCAGTTCTCGATCTATGCCGGCGAGAGTACTGAATCTAGTTGCCACTAAATTAATTTGATGTTGTAGTAAAAGGTTATCAGTGTAGAAAGCAACTTTGTAGGAGGTAGAACCCAAGGCTTTCGTAAGGCTATTTGGAGCTTTCTTTACCAACGATTAATGTCATCTCTCTAAGATGTTAAATGTTAAATAACATTTTTACTTCTAAACTCAGTCAGAAAACTATATTGGTGGAAAGACTTTGTAAACTAACGTGTGCAATTTACTGCTGCAGAAGTACTGCTGGATCCAAATGTGGTCTTCAAGTTCGTATCATGCTCTGACTCTATACAGTTATCAAGGACCTCATCGAAAACAAAGAGAGAATTCTGTCTACATATACTTAATGTGGTCTTCAAGTTCGTATCATGCTCTGGCTCTATACAGTTGTCATGGACCCATGGAAAACAAATAGAGAATTCTGTCTACAAATACTTAATGCTTGATCACCTGTCGAGCTGTTACAAGGTGAGTACGTTCGAACTATTTCATAGTATTTACAATTAATAGACTATTAACTACGTTAAGTGTAAAGAATATATATAATATATTTAAAGTAAACATTTATAGCAAAAGTCAGACCTTGAAAAGCGTTCTGGAGCAGAATTCCTAATAGAAATTTAAAATATTGTGTAGGTGTAATCGTTTATATACGACGCATTTGGGCTATCCATTATATAAGTACATACATTATTAAACGCTTTGCTTTTTAAATCAATATGACAACAGTTGTTTAAATTAAAATTAACAGTTAAAGAAGAAAAGTAAATATCAATAGCACATTTGTATTTACATTCAACTTATGTACATGTATATAAGTGTGAATATATAACATTTGTCGTGAATAATGCCCATGTGAATAATGCCCGTGTATATATAAAGTCAAATATGAATATAAGTTGGAGCCCTGTACTGGCATAAGCAAGTCATTTTAATATTGTTCACATACGAGCACTAGCATCCATCAAGCGATACAGATACGAACAAGTGGGTAAACATTTATTGAAATACCAAGCCAAAGATATTCTTATTTGGAACACTCAAACACAAGCCCCTCATATCGAAGTCGGTTAAAAATGTAACACCTTCGAACGCACGTCAAGCTTCATTTGCGAGTATTAGTTGAAAATGTTGTGCAAATAAACAATATTTGTTCATTGAAATTGTTTAATTTGTGTACTTAAGATGTGAAACTCTGTCATATGATTCACTTACCTCATTTATAACTTTCGACAACTGTTGAACAGTTTCGTATAGATACGAGCTAGGCTAGTCAGTTTGAGAAACTATGGCACAAATGCACCAATGCACAAATTGTGTAAATGCAAGAATATCGAAAGCTATTTATACAAAGGTATTCAAAAATTATGAAAGTTTTTGTTTATTCAAGTAAATGATATATTGTCAGCTGTAAGTACTAGTACGTACTGCTAAGCATGCTGAACTCACACACGTTCACACCCATTTCTGCACTATCCTACGACATACATCTTTCTTCCTACCATTAATACTAAGCGAGGCTAACAGAAAAGTTCTCATAGCTCAATAAATGCCGGAATAAATTGTAGTATTACGAGTATTTAGTTTCACTTGAGGCCTAGAAGCTGAACATGTGATTTCTAACTTATATAAATATTATGAAAAGCATTCTCTCAACTTCTATCTGCGAACAATATAAGTTATTCTTCACTTTTTCAATATTTTTCTTGATTCCTTATAAAAATTTAATCACGACGGCTCATCTCTCGATTTCATTGGAGAGATGAGAGCGCCAATGAAAAACTGGAACTCATCGAGAGTATAATTCAAAGAAACAAACAAGTCGTTGTTGAAGTAATGTTCAGTAATTCCAATATATAATAGGTAAAGCTGAAAATGATATTTTCCGTCAAAATTGGCCATGCCACTACTGTGAGATAGCGTTGGCCATTTTCAATCTTCTCTCAATAAATTAAAGAACAATTCTTCATATTAGGCATATTCACAAAATGTTACCGCGTCCAATATTTTGAGTTTTAAACGCACTGAAGTTGCATAAATTTATCCATTTACAATTCTATTACATATTTCCATTTATAACACTTGAATAATCAGAACAAAGAAACATATGGTCATTCCACCTACCATCATTACCACAAATTATAATTATCAACCATAGACTGCAACCATAAATCGCAGACTATTACCACTATTGCAGCAACATTTTTCTGTTTACAGTACCGACACACTTAAGAATATGACAGATCTATGCTCTGCAAAACCCTCGGGCATACTCCTACCTATGCCACGTCACGCTCTTGCAGGCTACTAAGTAGTTGGTGCCACATGTTGTGCTAGTACTTAAAGATTATACAGCTGTCAAATACTAACCTAACAAATACTAATATCAAAAATTATAACTTTTTGTCGTTTTTGCTCAGAAACTGTTATATGCCATTTACACTGGTCTCAAATGGCTCATTTCAAATGAGTCATTTGAAAGTGTTTACATTCGTTGTAATTTATTTGATCTCATTTCAAACAGCTGATTTTTCAACTTGCCTGTTGACTTGATTTTTGGCCTGTACCAGAAAAATGGATGAAGGTTATATATATTTATAAGCCTTACAATATGAACTTATTTTTGCTGCGATTAATTTATTTTTGGGAAGTAGAAGTTCCAAATAGAGGTGCATCGTTTTCAAGTAAATGCAACCATCATATATTTGCTTACCTTTCTTTGTAAGTATGTCAAAAACAGCTTTCTCAAACTGTTAAAATGCCATTAAAAGCTCTTATTTAGGGTATGTTCAATGTATTCATTTGCATTTCGGACATATTTGAAACTCATTCTATCCTCGTTGGAACTCATTTATACAAAATGAGATCCAATGGATCTCATTTGTGCTTGAGATTTTGTGTGCAAAAATGAATCATTTGCCACTCATTTTTAATTTTTGACCAAAATGATCCATTTGAAGCCCGTGTAAATGCTATATTACCATTACTATTATTACTACTACTTTCTAAACCTTCCAAGAATGATAAAGTCTTTTTATGTACCAGGCGTGTGCTCCGAAATGCACCACTGGGAGAAGGAAAGTAAGTACTCAGCCTCTCAAGCTGCGTGCTCGCTTGATACAACACACCTGAAATACTAAACAATCAGTGTCTTTCTTGTAGTTCTATTGGAAGTATTCTTTGAAGGACACAACCAACTCGACTTAAAGTTACTCAGACATTGCTTTTTATTCAAATTTAATTTTCAGAATCAACTGATTCTTGTCTAGTTCTGCATATAAGAATTTTGAGATGTGCACATTAGAGTTTGTACTCAACCGTGGTGAATATTCTTATCATACATTAATGGGTGCATCAAAGCCATCCATTTTATATAAGAGATATTAAAATGTTTTTGTCACTGGGTGAAATGATAAGGTTTAATGCCTATTTGTTTTTGTAGAATTATAACGTTGACGAACTACCCAGACATCAGGTGTGACAATCTTTTCGATATTCAGTGAAACATCAACTGATTCTTATTATTGTGAACTGTTACACAATATGTAAGAGAAATTGGAAGTGTTGAATCTAGTTCTTATTGTCATTTTCATTGATAATAGTAACTAACTTAATTGGCTTGTGTATCGACATTATATAAATCAAGTAATTTTTAATTTAAGGAATAAAAAATTGAATTAGCTGTTTTGGCAGTTCTATTTTGCAACATTTCTGAGAAAAAACCCAAAAAGGTCATTTAGGTTCCCGAGCTGCGTTTTAATAATATGGGTAAGTAATCTATTTTCGAATTGCGTTGACCAGTTTTAGTGTATATTTTTGGTACTTAAATAGAGGTAAATTTAAGTATCTGAATAATATCATAAATATGACATTAAAAATTAAATGATTTGTAGTTAACTGTTAAAAAAACTCTTATTTTGAAATTTAGTGGTTAAAAGAGTGCCTATTAAAGGATGATGACAAGCGTGTTGCAAGTGTAAGTGGGGTATAATTCTTGCTTTAAAAGTCATCGATAGGAATAGTTATCAGTTATACTAGAGCCTGTCAACTTTTTTAACAAATTGCGTTTCAGTTTTTGCAATCAACGTTGTCGGACGCGGTAAAGATTGGATCTATGGTATGTAATGAATTTTAATAGAAAAAATAAAAAAATAAAGCCTATTTCAAATATATACATCACTCAAAGATAATAGCTCATTCATAGTATTGACAAAATCGTCTAGTAGAATTTATTTGATATCGTTATGGTCAAAAATCATTCGCCATTTAATTTGATTGCATCAAAATCATTGCAGATGAATAATCAGCCACGTTTAGGTAATGGTAATCGAGCCACCAAAACCTGTGCATGGCTCACTGGGAGGCCACGATTTGTAAGTATAAATATTAGCAAAGCAAATTGGAAATTTAAGTCTGTTCTTATACTTTGAAAGGTACAACGCGCCCAACACGTTACTTTTAGCAGCTCTCGGCTTTCTCAACGTAAAGTGGTTCCAAATCCAATAGCAATATGGAAAATCGCAAAGTGTGCAGTTAAAAATATTTTGCGTCGGCTCTTTAAGGAAAATGTAACGATGCATCCAGTAACTGAAGTTAAACTCACAAAAAAAATAGTTAATTGTATTGCGCGTTTGGAATTCACACCACGTCCAGCATTACCAAAGAAAACCAACTCATTCCCAACGCTCATAAGATTGTGTCCACCCGAGGCCAATTCTAATGTAAGTCAAAATTTCTAAATTCACTTTTTTTATATTAAGTGTAACTCTACTATATTCTCTATACTGTTCTAAGAAGTCAAGTACATTCACGTTACCATTTGTGAAAACAATTTTTTAAATAAATAAAATATGAGAAATTCAGGGTGTACATCAAAAATTTTGGATGTGTAAAGCCTGTAAAAACTGTCGTCTAATCATAATCAAATTAATAATTAAATAGTTAATAAATTTATTTATTAATTAATAAATAGACTCAAAAAAATTAAGTCTATTTTTAATCAAATAATAAAATATTATTTTATTGCACAAAGTTTAGAAGATAAGATATTAAAAATGATTAAAAGCTAAAAAATTCAAGCTATATCATGAAAGATATTAGTAGGCAATAAAATAGTAGTAGCCTTGTAAATTGTTATATATATTATTTAATTGCATTTTTTATTTATTATTATTATATTGTTTTTAGCATATATTGCATATTAATATATAATTTCATAGTATTAGACCTTTTCTTTAAAGTTTATTGATTAATAAATTCAAAATTTAAAGCAATGGGCTTATCTTTCAAAGTTTTTACGAATGCTTTCATAATTATATTAAATAATTATATTCATTCAATAACTATATTGAATAAATGACGATATAAAATCTTGTATTGTCGACTTAGACTGAAAAGGTGTGAAGTCCATTTTTTCGAATTTTAGGAGAGTCGATAAACTTAATAAGGACTTTCTTTTAATGTGTTTTAAAATTTTAAATAAATTATATATGGATAAAACCCCGAAAGTATTTTTTATATCCAAATATGAATAAATGATTAATAAAAAAAAATTAGCATTAAAAAAATATAAAAGATTCTTTATTCACTTAATGAGTAAAAGATTATTGAACAAATATTTTTAAATTTCTTCATATAACATAAATAAATTTAGTGTGTTGTGTAGAAAATAATACTTTCGGATTCAATTAAGTGGAAAAACAAATTTTCTTATTCGAGAATTCCAATTAAAATTTTCTTATCATGTAAAAACTACAGATGATTTTTTAAAAGTTCATACATATTCTAGCCCTTAGTAATGCATCTGAAGCCCCATTTGCTTATTAAAGTAAAACTATTATCTATTATTATGTTGAAGCTATTTGAGCCAGTGCACTTGAGCACTTTTACTCTCTATTAGCTCAAGGTATCTTCAGAACCGCTCTTTACTATAAATAAAATCTTAAATAATTGAAAATCATATACAGTAGGTCTACCAACGGACAATCCTCTCAAGTGGACATTACTTATTAAAGAAATTTGTTTTTATCATTATTTGGAACAATTTAGAGAGGCACTTTAGAGAGAAACGCAGAATTGGGGGGAACTGATGAACGAGTGTTCGCTTAAAAGAGTTTTCACTGTTTTAGGCTTAAATAGGAAATAGTTTCGTGGATTTTTCATTGAAAATTAACAAATGTAGTGACTACCACTGCTTCGAAAATTTTTTAATTATTTTAAATATTTTTCAAATAAACAAAATTCTTTACATATTTCAATTGCAGGGTATTCAGACTGACCAAAACCGGGGCGGACACAACAACGCAGGAACGAACTTCATTAGGATGACCACCAATGGAACAAAATACAACTTCAAAATGCAAAAGTAAAAGCTCCATCTGTTGGAGAGCTGCACGATACGCAACAGCTGTAATAAAATATTAAAGTAGTGCAGCAAAAATATTATTAATAAAAAAATATGTATATTATTATTTATTAAAAAAAAACATAAAAAAATTATCAGAACAAAAAATTTAAAGCTAATTCTAACAAAAATATTTGAAAATAACATCACCTTTCGGTATTAATTAATAAATAATAATATATTTATAACAAAAAATTCTCAGGAGATTTTATGGTATATACTATATACACAAATATATATACATTTGTATATATTATATCTGTATAGATATTTTTGATCTTAAAATTTAATTTGTATTTTATTTTAAGAAAGAATTCAAATAAGGCAGATCAGATCACCCACCAAAAGCCATTAAAAACACCAATTCAGTTATATGTCGTGTGCTTGTGTGTGCGTGTGTGTGTGTATATATGGAACGCTTTATGAATATCAAGCACAAAGTTGAAAAAAAAATCATAATTACATTAATTTGGAATTATTACAAATTTGGCATAAGGACAGGGTGCGCAAGCCGTACACGACGTCACTTGCATTGTTATTGCTTTCGCTGTTGATAATGCGGCTACCATGTCAAAGCCGTTGTTGTTGTTGTTTTTGCTTTCAACTTTGACTACATACTGGGGCGTCTTCAAAGAATTTTTCACAGAAGTGTTGTGTGTGTCATGATTGCTTCGAAGTTGGAAGTTCGAAGTTGGAACATCGAATTTTCTGCATGTGCATTAATGAAGAAGTATGAAGATAAGCTGCATATGCGATTTTTGTTGTAAAATGTTAACACGTACATATATGTGTGTGCATATGTATGTATATTGTGTGCACAGTCGTTTAGCCAAAACGGTTGAAGAAGTCATAAATACGTAGAGGGGAACGCGGCAAGTGCTCAATCAGAATTTTAATTATTATTTTCAATTATCCAAATGTGTCTGTTTTGTCGTTTAGTTTCAAGTGGCACTGCCAACGAAATTCATACTCGAGCCCATAGAGCAACCGCAAGTAATACTGCACTTATGGAAATTGTTATTTGTTGTTGTGGCAATTGTTGTTGCCGGTTTTGTTTATATTATTATTTCGGTTATTAGAAGAAAATTAAAACGAATACAATAAAGATTTTCACTGCGGCTATACATAGGGACAAGGTTGCATATATGTATGTATGTATGTACATATGTAGTAAAGCACAAAAGGAATAGAAAAATAAAAAATAAAAATGCACAGAGAAATCAAAAAAATGTTAATGTTTTGCATGGCATATGGCTTGATTTAATTAAACTTTTTCTACATTTAATTATTATTTTTTTTTTTGGAAATTTCTGTGTGATATCAATAATTCTTTAATTTTTTTATTATTATTGCTTTACTTTTTATGAGATTGCTAGAGTGGCGGGCTTGTATTAAAACATAAATTATTTCGGACTGCTATTTTTTAACAGTTCCCCTTTACAATGTAATTTCGGTTTTTTTTTTGTTCGATTTCCCATTTTTTTATATTTTCTAGCAATTTTTTTCATTTCTATACAAATATACATATGTACATATGTATATCTGTTTTGTTAAGTTATTTAAAGTAAATGTTCTTGAAAAATATTGACAGCTTGTCATTATCATTTGCCATGTATTTAGATATTCGCAAATTTACTTAAGACAATTCACAATTTACTATGGATAAGGCATAGTAAGGGGTGGTAGGTCGCAATCCTCACGATCTGTCCAGAAAATTCAACAGAAATGAATCTAAAAATTATTTTTTCACTGTCATATTTGCCTACAAATAGTTAACACTACTGAAGAAACATTCACATGTGCACTTTGAACATTAAAAATGTATGTATGTATGTATGTGTATGTATTTTTTTTCTTAACAACAATGCACGTCATTCATTCAAACGGCACTTTTAACTACACACAACTAGACTCGCACACACGCAATGGCCACTGACGTCACAGTCATACGATGCCCTACAGTGAGCAGTGAAGCAAATAAAAAAAGCACTTGTTGCCTACAGTAACGTACATACATGCAAGTGTGTAACAATGTATGTATGTTTGAACTTATAATAGCCAATATGTCAAATGCCGAATTCGTCAACACTCACTTCACGCCAATAATTTCGTAAATAATTTAATTACAAAAAATTAGTCACAGAAAAATAATTAATTAACTAAAACCATAAGACAAATTTATTAAAAGAAAAAAGTAGAGATTTTGACGTGAAAAATTATAATGACAAGGACCGAAGTCATGTCAGATTTTCAAGAAAATTTGAAGTCAAACAATCGATCCCAAGCGGACAAATTAAAAATTTTGAAAAAAATTTCATATAAAATAAAACAAGACGAGACAATGTTTTATTCATCAAAGTATTCATCTTAATATTCTTTAAATGAATAGTTGTCTTATATACAAAACAATTACTTACTTTTAGTTATGATAGAATAGAATAAAAATGCTAGGGTTCCGTTATATGAAGCATTGTGACTAGAGTAGATCTTTTGTACTAAGAATAAAGCCAGAATATCTCTCGTTAATGATTTTCTATTATCAGTTAGTAATCAAAACTCCAGGCTGAACACTTTTCTCCAGACTGAATCAGATCTAAGCGAAGTTGCATGGTATTACACTTTGATCTTATATATATTCTATCGAAAAAGCGGTCAAACTTATACAACAATAGAATATTCGTCCTTTGAATATTACGATTTTTGTGGATAGTCAGGTCGCACTGAAAGCAATTGAATCTAAAACGGATAAGTCCAAGATTGTATTAAAATGTTGTGCCTCACTGATGAGCATCAAACATCACACGGTCTCTCTTTGTTGGATTCCTTTTGAAGGGAACGAACTGATAGATGAGATAGCCAGAAGAGGTTTCCTTTTGAAGGGAACGAACTAGTAGATGACATGGACAGAAGAGGTTCTAAACTGCAGAGGCCGACCTCTCAATGCAAACACCGATATGTGAACTGTTTAGAAAAATAGAGGAAATCACCAAAATGGTGGCCAACAATTTATGGACAAAAATAAAACTAAAACTCTTTTAGGCTTCAGCAAACCTGCAGTTCGTGTACTTACTGGAGTACTAACGGGACACTGTGCCATTGCGCCTATGTTTCAACAAGTGGCGAGTTCCAACAAGTGGATTATGTAAGAGTTCCTAAGATGAAGAGGAGGTGGAATCTATCTTGGGGATTGCTTTTTTAGTGGCTTGGAAGAGATAACGAAAGACACATATCGGATCTCCTCAACTTCATCTGGAAAACCAAATGGTTTAACTACGGTAGAAGATAACAAAGGTTAGCAACTCGCCTCACAATGGGCAGTATATGCTTGTGAGTGGAAATGCTGACAACTGTCAGCACGCATCTTCTGAACCTAACCTAACCTACATGGTATTATCAAGCAATTTGACATCTTTGTTAATTTTATCTACCCAAATTTGTAAAATAACAAATTCCACTGTATTATTTATTTAGCTCAAAGGCTGAGATTCTACTGAACCTGCGCATTAATAGAAAATTCCATCTATAATAATTTTTTTTGTTCGTCTTATTAGAATCAGAAGTAATGAAATAAAATGTCAGCTGTTAAATCAAGTAAAAGTCTTGGTCCCTATTCTTTGAGTTGAAAGAACTCAACACTCGAGTGCAATCAATCAACGAAGAACTTATTTATGATTAATGAAACCAATACATTTCATCTATTCACAAAGGCGACGACTTTGACTCAAAATGTGAAGTCATGGAGTTGACTTACAAAATAGGCGGTACCAAGTGTGTTTTAATCGTTTTTCTTATACTATATGACTTTTCTAATTATTATTATAGTCAAGCATGACTTGTCTTGATGCTGGCAAAACGTAAACACAGATTATTTTATCGAAAGGCAGCTACGTAATCCCTCTGGTACTCGAACGTCACTACACTTGTCTTGTTTTATAGAAAACGATTGCCGAGCCAGCGGTTGAGATTGCACTTTGCACCGCCCATTTGGATAAAAACTGAATCATTAACAATTGCGAATTGCAGGCAAAAAAGTATTTAATTTTTTTTTGGCCCCTTTAGAAAAAGCAAAGTGACTAAGGAGATTGTTGGAATTATGTTGCTCTTAAGTTGTTGATTAAATTTTCTAAGAGTAATGCAACTCAGATACTTGCATTGTATGGAAACCGCAACGTTTTTGCTTCTTAAACTCAAAGAAGGGCATAAATGAATGTATCTCTGGTTTAATTTATGCAGTCATTTCGAAAGATATTAGAAAAAAATTAATATTCACAGCAGCAACTTGGACGTTTAATGGCAGTTTCCAAATCACTTTAATGTGACCTAATAAAACGGAACCAAACCAACTTATGCACAGCAGTAAAAGCATTAATCTATTGCACAGATACGATCTGCGTATAGATAAAAATATAATAAAATTAAAAGATACTAATTCATTGCATTTTACTTTTATGATGTCGGAGAAGTGCGCACATTTATACGCGTTAACGCACGAACAAATTCAGTGAAATTCAGCAAAACTCTGCTCCGCGACTACATTTTGCCGCTAATGCATACATTATCGAAGCCAGCCAGAAGTGCGCGTATCTCACAGATTGAACTCAAATTGAAATTCTGTTAAATGCAGAAACATAAAAAAAATTGCTGAAATACCCTAAAAGAACCAAAAAATATTGAATTAGAACATTTACTGTAAAACAGCAAACAGCGAAAATCGCGTTTAGAATAATAAATTGAAATTTTACTTAACTTAAATTAGATTTTTACATTAGCGTCACCAATAGTGTATGAACACAGATACAGATATGGATACGGACGCAGACACAGATACAGATACTTTCTGTATTGAACACTCCAATTTAGAAATGGTCTTCAATGCGTGTCGAAGACCATGGATAACATGAAAGAGCCGAAAACTTTGCTGGATGCAATTGAGCAGAAAAATATCTATTCTATTCGAAATAGATAAAGAAATATAAATTTAAAAAAAAAAAAAGACAATTTTAAAAATGAGTAGAAATATTAGGATT